GGGGGGATATGTATGGGTGGGTGGGGCAAGAAGGGTACATACGTTAGGTAGCTTTGTCCATGTGCTTCTCTCTCCGTGTGTGTCGCATTAATGTGTGCAGTGTAGTGGTACTGGACGGCTTTGATCGGATCGCCACAAGAGGACGTGGAGCGTTCCGGCGCGGTGCAGCACAGCCACCACGCCCAGCTCTTCCGCCTCGCCATGGAGCCCACGTCCAAACTAGTACTCATCGGTCGGTACGCCACACGCGATGGATGCGATCTACGCACACAAACCACCGAGCGAGACAATAGCGATAGCACCTTCCTCCTCTTCGCTCTGTCTGTCTGTCTGTCTGCGGATGGATGCAGGCATTTCGAATTCCCCCCTGGGCGAATTGCTCAAGAGGAAACTGGAACGACACCGTAACCATATATCCACACATACACACATACAGCAAATGACACACACACATTCAGACACATCCCATCAGCATTCACTCCTCTCCCTTCTCCCCTTTGTCTCGCTTCCCTCCCTCCCTCCCTCCCTCAGTCCTCCCGCAGGTTCTCCAGTTCAACAAGTACACCTCCGCCCAGCTGCAGCAGATCGTAGAAAGCCGCATCTTCAAACAGGCCCCGCCCCCGCCCCCGCCCCCACCCTACCCCACCGACACACACATGGCGTCCCCCGACGACCCACCCGCCCGAGCCGGCCTCCGCACCAGCAAGCGCAAGAGCAGCCGCATGTCCACCAAGGTGCCTGAGGGCGAGCAGGACGGCCCCAAGCGGCGCAAGGGTGAGGCGGGGGTGCGGAGGGCCGTACAGGCGACACACCACAAGAAGGGGAAGGGTGAGGGGGAGGGGGAGGGAGAGGCGGACTGGGAGGGGGGTCAGTTTGAGGAGCGGACGGGGGGTCGTGGTGGGGGTCTGTGTATGACTCCCACGTCCCGGAAAAATGTGGAGTTGCTGTGTAAGAAGGCGGTCGTCCAGCATGAGGGCGACGCCCGCAAGACACTGGCCATGCTCAGGTTAGGTTCGTCACACAGCACAGCACAGACAGCAACGAGCGACAGACACGAGGGAGGCACACAAGACAGACGAGTGAATGGGCACCGCCCCGCCCATCCACTCTAATTCATTTCTCTCTGTGTGTCAATCTCTGTGTGAGTCAGGGCGGCCCTGGGTGCGCGCATCGAGCAGTTGAGGAGCCAGGAGTTGCAAGAGCCCAACCCCCGCTCGTCGTCGGTGGCCCTCGCCCCACCCTCTCGTCGGTCATCGCGCCGCCCCGGCTCACCCGGACCCGCGGCAGCGGCTGCTGGTGGTGCCACTACTGCCAGTGCCAGTGCCGGTGGTGGTGGTGGTGGTGCGGGTGCCACCCTGCAGATCGAGATGGCTGAGTTGGCGGCAGCGGCGCAGGCCGGTCGTGAAAGCCGTGTGTCGATCATCAGCAAGCTGACCCGCTCCATGCACATCGTGCTGCTCGCCGCACTTGAGGCCGCCAAGAAGAGCAGCACGGGCAGTTTCACCGGATCGGAGTTCATGGTCAGTCAGTCGGTACAGACCACAGATGCATGACGTGACAGGAGGGAGGGAGGGAGGGAGGGATCCCCAGGAGAGAGCGCATGGCGTCTGTCTGTGTGTGTGTGTTGTTCAGGCTGAGCACCGCAGGGTGTCCCGTCATTACGTGTCGGTCCACGACCCCGGCGAGTTTTGGGACGTGCTGCAGCACACACAGGCCTACGGGTTCATCGGAGTGCACGGTAGGGATCCTTCACACACATAAGCCACGACCCGTCTGACTCTGTGCGCATTGCATCCTCCGTGTGATTGTGTGTGTGTGTGTGTGTGTGTCACTTATCACTCATCCATCCATCCATCCATGTGTCAGCCCCGCGCTCGTCTCGGCCCGGGAGGAGGAAGACGGAGACGCCACCGCCTTGCTGTTACGGCCCCGCCGCTGCCAAGAACACGTACAGCGTCCAAGACATCCCCGAAGGCGAGGTCGAATCAACGATTGCCCTCCTCATGCGACTCATCGAACAGGGCTGACTGACCTCCCCCGCCCGAGCGACCGCACACAGACTGACTGGCAAGACACACGGACACACAGACAGACAGACAGACAGACGGACGGACACGGTCTAGCGATGGATATGGAACAATGTCTCGTCCACCCAACGTGTGCTCACTCATTCTCGTAGTTGACCGCCTGGATGCGCATCTGTCCGTATGTCTGTGGATGCGTGTGTGTGTGTTGGGGGGGGGGGGGG